TTAATTTCGCCCCTATGACAAAAAACAACATTCCGCCACGCAGGAGTTGTGCGCGTTTACAACATCTTTCCGACGACACCAATTTGAAAAGAATCTGACCAAAACTGTAGTAGAAGATAGGAAAAAACTGAAAAACCTTCACGTTAGTATACTACGCTCGAGGATGACGCCCAGATGTCGCCAACCCCACATCATGTAGCCATGTCCTTAAGGTTGACAAATTTCACGGCCCTGTAGATACACGTACACCCGTTGCCTTTCTACAAGAGTTCTTCTACGCGCCCACATTTGCTGCCAGCCAGCCAGCCAGCCAGCCAGCCAGCCAGCCAGCCAGCCAGCCAGTCAGCCAGCCAGCCAGCCAAAGTGAGATTAAAAGCTACTTTTTACAAAAAAAATTTTTTGCAAAAATGCGCTAAAAACTGGATTGGTTTCTGCTTCAAATGAAGGAGTAGTTGAAGTCATTCCATCTGATAAACCTGGATTTTCTAAAGTTGTCGAAAGTATTTTTTGTGCAATTTCATTTTTATTTGAAATCAAAAACTCGTCCACAATTAAAACGTCAAAACTAATAATGGCCAACTATAGCAATTGTTATAGTCACCACGGCCGACGCGCTCACGGCTACCCATAACGATCGGGTTAATATTTCTTCCGATTTGAAAACCATTATTTGGGCGTTATTCTCACGTTTGAAGAAAAAATAGCATATATTATGCGGAGCTAAAGTAACTTCTTATGGCTCGTCAGTATTTTGCTGGCCTCGCTTCGCTCGGCCATCAAACACTGACTCGCCATAAAAAGTTTCACTTTAGCTCCTCATAATATAATATACTATTATTTTTCCACGAAAATTCATACATTTCGGGTATTACATAACCCAATTATTGCTGTAGCTATTGTAGAAAAAATTATGGAAATATCTTGTTCCCTTTTTGCGGAAAAGCAAAAACATTGCAACGCAGCTATATATTATTGAAGGAAACGACTTCATTCTTTTTTTATAAGATGAATAAAATAGCAAACGTCATAAATGCGTACATATTGTCTGAAAACAACTTGTGGATGTTTGTTTTTGTGTAAATTAGCCAATACTCTACGTACGAAACAAGATGAATAATAACCTGCGGTTTTCATGTGTGATGTGCGCTTAGACCATATAGTACATGGACTGCTATTAGCCCTATGCTTTCAATACAAAATGGGTGGTCACCGATAGAGGGCACTGTAGTCGTGGGTATGTGAATCTCAGGGTAAACTAAAGTCGTATGAACACCACTCGGATCGCGTAAAGAGTAGCTTTTATGGTAACCGCGTAGTACGGGAAGCTAAATACTCTTGGTTATCTTCTATACGTCCACAAATAAGAACAGGTTTGCTTTTTTTGCCATATCTGGGCATTTAATTAGTTGACGTTTGTTAATTTATAGGTTGACATCCTCAAATCGTGTCACATCGGACAATTTCGGACAGACTCGTTTACCCTGAAACGCACATACCCAGGCAATGTCCTTGACCATATTTTAGTTACAATTAGCAGTCCATATGTACTATAAGGTCTAAGGATGTGCGGCAAACATGTTTTGTTTAACTGGAGCGTTACAATACAATAACCACAGATGGCCATGGCCAATGTAATGTAATTGTAAATTGTCATTATTATTCTTTCGTGGGTACCTACAGGAACACATGTTTGATAAACAGATATATTATTCAAAACCAGAAAAATGGATTGTGGTTCATAATATTTTCTTACATTCAAATGTATAAAGGCCCATTGCTCATCCAGAACTACATTAACAGTTTAGTTGTCACGACGTACCACTATATCTATAATAAATAATAAAATGCCTCGTTATGTGTCCGTGGAGTTTAAAAGAGATTGTTGTGAAGGTAAAAAGGTTCTTCGAAGAAGAAAAATGAATGGTGTAGATCGAGTTCGGCTCAATCAAGTAACAAAACGAACTGCGCAATGCTTGGGAATTAGCAAAAAAACAGTTCAAGGGTGTCCAATGAAGCAAGTATCAGTGGTATAGTTTCAGGACCAAAACCAAAAAGTGGTAGACCTAAATATAGAGATCGATGATTTTATGAAGGGCGTTATAAGACGACAAATATTACATTTTTAATATGGAAAACGGTTTCCAACCATAGCCGAACTCTATCAACGACTGAAAGACGAGTGTCCAGATTTTCCGCAAGTGTGCAGCACCACAGTAAAAAAATGGGTAAAAGATATAAATTTTATCTATCGCAAATTGGAGAACAGGCCTATTTTAAATGAAGTGAATGCAATAGCTGCTAAAAGAACCGAATATCTATACGCCATCAAAAGATAGAGAAACGGGTTGGAATCTATTTTTTACAGACGAAACATGGTGTGGCGCAAACCATTCAAAAAAATTTGGTTGGGTGGAATATATAACCCCGGAAAACCGCGACAGCTTTGACCAATATCGAGGAACCATTCAAGAAATCAATGGGTACAGGGGTGGAATCAAACGACCTTCTGGAGCTGGGCAACGGATCGTTATACTTGACATCGGCAACGAAAACGGTTTTTTACCAGGATGTAGCAAATGCTTCATTGGGAAGAAAGGGTCAGCAGATTATCATGACGATATGAATAAACAGCATTTTGAGGAATGGTTACGATATGTCTTGGGGGTGATTCCCGATAAGTCAGTTATTGTACTTGATCAAGCACCTTACCATACAATGTTGAATCCTGAATTTCGAAACCCAACAACTGTAGGAAAACTAATTCTGTAATGTGTGTTGCCTGACTGGCAGAGGTGTCGGTGATGTGCGTGGGCGGCGGTTGGCAACGACACTACTAT